TTTGCTCAACAGCAGATGGGTCAACTTCCAGCAACTAGAATCTCACTGGCATTTCTCCACACAGGAGTGGATTATGCAGGGCCATTTGACATCTTGAAATGGCGACCAACGAACGCTCAACCAGGTTCAGTACACATCGCAGTGTTTGTATGCTTCACCACCTCAGCAGTTCACCTAGAGTTAGTCAACAGACAGACGACAGCAGTATTCATCGGAGCATATAAGAGATTCATCGGGAGACGTGGCATTCCAGCTGTCATGTACAGTGACAATGCCACCACCTTCGTTGGAGCAGCTGACATCCTAGAGAAAATTTATCGTCAACCATCAGAAGAAAATCAACGAGTTCAAGCAGCCCTTGTCACACATCGGACTCAATGGAGCTTCTCACCACCACGAGCACCCCATTTCGGTGGGAAATGGGAAACAGCAGTCAAATCAACGAAGCATCACCTAAAAAGAGTTCTGGGATCAACAACACTCACGTACGAGGAACTCAATAGTGTGATAATTCAGATAGAGGCTTGTCTGAACTCGAGGCCAATATGTCCCATCTCCGACTACCCAGATGATCTACAAGCGCTAACCCCTGGTCATTTTTTGATCGGCGAGCCTCTTCAACTAATACCAGAGCCATCCATCGTCAACGAGAACCCCATCAAACTGCAGAGATAGAACCTGGTAACCCAGAAAGTTCAACAGTTCTGGGCCAGGTAGTCCAGAGAATGTCTTCAACGCTATCAAGCCATCTACAAGTGGAAATATCGAGAAGAGAACCTTAAGGTCGGTGACATGGTGCTAATGATGGAAGAAAATTATCCACCATCACATTGGCCAATCTCAAGAGTCATCGCGACCAAACCAGGAACCGATGGGCTCACCAGGGTCGCCATAATCCGAACAGCAAGGGTCGAAGTGCCACGACACCCAAATGGGTCTCCAGACATTCAACGCATCACGACCACGTATACGACGTATGACCGACCAGTCACCAAGCTCTGTCTGCTACCAACAGATGCACCTGCACCAGAAGAACCTCCAGCAGATGATCAATAGCAAATCAACCCAGATGACGAAAGCTACCATGATGAAGACGATCAACACAACGACCAATAGATTCATCATCCCTGATGATAAATGCCCCCAGAGTTTTTGAAACGCAAAGAAAAATCCCACAAATCAGTGGTCTCGTATTCGGCCACCTTCGAAAATTTTCGTGACACTTCGGGTCAACGGTCATCGGGTCAAAGACACGCCCGGAAGAGAAGCCAAGTTCAGTTAGCATTCAGAAATGATAGAGTGAGCCAACGCGTTTTCGCATTCACATTTTCTATTCAGTACATCAATTCAATTACAATTCAGTATGTTATCAGTTAATCAACGAAAGACTATTAGAAAGGATAATCAACAGTGAATTAAATTCAGTGATTAATATTGTGGGAAACTCAACAAACCCTAAAGCTTGCGTATATAGTGTACATATCTTAACAACGTGGTTCGATCCCACGAAATACAGTGGTTTTTATAACAGTGACTTTTTATTTTCACCCCTTTTGCTTCCACAAAAATTCCCAATCCACCCTACTCTACCCTAGTGGAAAAACCTAAGGCAGAGGCGTAACACGCCTGATCAGAATTTCGGATCGGACTTGATCAGTTTCTGATCAAGACCTGAACAGAATTTCCACTCGGGTATGAGTCAATTTGAGAGTGAAATTCGTAATTGTCCTGGTAGCTCAGATGGTAAGAGCACCCGACGCGACATTGGGAGGTCCCGGGTTCGATTCCCGGCTAGGAAGTTACTAATTTTTTCTCTCAAAAAATTAAATTTAATTAATGCTTAATGATGGAAGGCGGAGAAGCCCTAGTGGAAAAACCTAAGGCAGAGACGTAACACGCCTGATCACAATTTCGGATCGGACTTGATCAGTTTCTCATCAAGACCTGAACAGAATTTCCACTCGGGTAGTTCCTCATCAAACAAAAGATGTTTGTTATGTAAAAATGCACATTTTTTATCATATAACTTTTTCCCCTAATTGCGATAGATGAGTTATCATGGATGGGAGGGAAGTGGGCAGCACGTTAACACATGCGCGGATTTTGGGGCGCTCCGATGTGTTTATTGGCAAACTCGATCGAGATAGAGGAGAATTGAATTCCGCAGGATAAAATTCATATATTTTTCCATATATACAAATTTTTTGCCATTGAGCACAGTGAAGACCGCAAATCTATTTCCATAGAGTTATCAATCTTAGTTTCTTGAAGGACATATTTGAACTTCAGCTCTTAATCATTAAAATCGCAGAAGATGGAGAAAAACTTCATGGAGATTCGCCGAAATCTACATTTTAGGGCTTACTCCGACTTGATTATTGACTTCTCTCGATATTCATCAACTATTCAATTCCTTTCTGGGCGATTCCTCGTGAAACCGGGAGTCGAAAAAAATCGATGACACCGATTTTGTTCAGTGTGAATTAAAGGCGATAGGAATTTTTTTTACAAGCGAAAAAAAAGCAAAATTAACAAAAATCATAACTCGTTCAAAAAATTTTATCTTGGACTGAAATTTTAACTGAAGTCTTAACTCATGATATAGAATTGAAAAAAAAATCATGAACAAAATCGGAATTCAATTTATAGAAATAACTCGTATTTGCAAGAAAAACTATAATCTGACAATAATGAGTATTTTTTTGAAGCAATGCAGCTGTTACACGATTCCTTTCCATATTCACTCTAAAATATGCCCTAAAATACTTTGTTGGTAATATCAAATTTTTGTAATTTTTTTCAAATTTCCCAGTAGGGGCCTTCGTCAATCAACTTAGAAAATTCATAAAAAATTGACGGATCAAATGGTAAATCATCAATTATATGTCAAATTCAATGGTGAACATTTTTCGTTTGAATCATTCTTCTCTATCTTGATTGCGTTTGCCGATGAACGCATCGGAGCGCCTCAACATCCGCGCAAGTGTTGACGTGCTGCCCACTTCCCTCCCATCCATGATAACTCTTTATCTATCGCAGTTATGAGAAAAAGTTATACGATAAAAAATGTGTATTTTTACATAACAAACATCTTTTGTTTGAATTTTTTTTCTCTATCCGCACCCGTTTCCATGGTATCGATTAAACAATAAAAATGTTATAAATAAATAGACCTAAATTCCATAGATTCCATAGATAAATTCCATAATTCCATAGATAAATTGTAATTTTTTTCCTAGCGCATACGGAAGTAGGGTTAGCATAGGGCGTACTATTTCTATTTCTACTCTAAAAAATAGCTGAAAACAACTTTTTGGTAGCATAAAATTTTTGTGAATTTTTTCAGATTTTTAAAATGGGACTTTCGTTAATCTACTTCAAAAATCGATAAAAAGTTGAAGAATTGATTAAAAAAATCGGAAAAAATCAGGGTGGATTTTTCATCGAGTAGAATCATGAAAAAAAAATGAAATGAATCTTAGATTGTCAGGGTTTAAACCGGCCGAATTGACATGGAATGCCCCATATTGTTTTTATTACTTTTTAAAATTAGAATCAAATGTATATACAATATATGTATATACAATACATTATAAAAATAATAATAATAATAAT